AAAATTGTGAATACAAAAGTTGTAGATCTTTTTATTACCTACAACTTTGCCATTCAACTTTTTCTTTCAGAAATTTTCGTGAAACATATTGTATCGCTATTTGAATTAGAAGGCACTATGAAATAAGAAATTTCGTAATGAAAATTGTTTTTGTTTTGAATAGTATTTTAGGATAGGATATCATCATGAAAATATATATAGACAAAATCTTGAAAATGTAATTCCTATCGTAAATCATACAAATATACACAGATCACTCCACCATAAGTCCTCGAATAATTACAAGGACGGATAAATTAAGTGAAGAAATGAATGAAAATTTCGATGAAAAAAAATTTATTGAAAGCATTAAGAACCGAAGCTGGAAAGATATTTATTCAGATAATACCCTGGATTTCATTACAGAAAGGATAATCACAATTTTATAAGAGGAAATCGAAAAATGTACTTACTATCAACGCATCAGAAGGTCCGAAATAAAAAAAGATTTCTAACTCGTTGGTAAAATCTGTTAATGAAAAAAGAAAGATTTATATAAACAACTGAAAGAAGATCCTCAGAATGTACAACTCAAATATGAATATAACGATTATAAAAAGACACTCGATTAATTTAACCAAAAGGCTGAAAATGGATACTAAAGAAAAAAAACGGAAACAGGAATAGTCCAGGCAACCGTGTTAGTAATCACACGTTAAAAAGTAAGACCTCGTTAGTCTTATCTCGCACAAGTTTCTCAACTTCTGAGAATTGCCGTTTGTAGGAGAGCGACAGCTGGTTAACGGATAAACAGATTTCAACAGATTTTCTTTTAACTTGTGGAGAAACAAATTAATTGTTCAATGGAAAAGTTGAAATAAAGTCCATGAAAAATTATAAAGGAGATATATGATAGATGATCTAGGTGAAATAGTAGGAGTATTTAACAAAACTTATATTAACACAGAAAAAAAACCTTGCGGAAGAAATCAAAAGAACTCAGTTTTACCGAACACATAAATAGAAATACAAATTTTCTCTATCCGGCAACTACATCAGAAGTCTGGATTATGATAGATCTCGAGAACAACAAAGCACCAGGAATAGATAACTTGGAAAGAGTAACTTTCATACTAATAGCTCTGTAGCAGGACCGATATCCCATATATTAAATAGAACAGCATAAATCGACTACTTTCCATTGTGCTTAAAAACTTTCTTAGTTTCTCCTATTTTTGAGAGTGGATGTAGGGATGAAGTGGTATCTTCAATAACAGTATCTTCAATAACAAATCTCAGTAAAATTCTAGAAAAAAATGATCAAAGTAAGGCTAGACTATACAAAAACATATGATATTATTTTGGAATGTTATTTTGGAATAAGAGGTAATGCATTAAAATTGATAAATACATATCTTACAGATAGAAAACAGATTATGAGAATAAGTAATATAAAGAGCAGTGAGAAGAAAATTGAATGTGGAATTCCGCAAGGAACTGTTCTGGGTCCGTTCCTTTTTAG